CCCCCCCCCTTCTCTGTCTCCGCCATCCTTCCATCCTTCTTCCCTCCTTACTACCCCCCCCCCGGCACTCACATTCAACTCGCACCCACATCCGTTCAACCCACATCCCCCCCAGCCAATTAGCCGGTCAGAAATGGATGTGGCCATGGTCAGCTAGTCCGTCTCCTTACGAAACATAGTCATGCTTGACATCTAGCTTTGCGAATCATCAAGAACCCCTCCGAACCCGAGAAAAAAAAACAAGACGAGACCACTGCATGATACAAGACTACCGGTAAGGCAAGAAGCAGCATCAAGAAGAAGAAAAGCAAGAAAAGGGAGATTCATCCTACAGTGCTTTTGTACAAGTACAGTACGGTACTCGAGTACAGACTACCGTGCCGTGTATGGTATCATACAGTACAAGTGCCAGTACTATTAGTACAGTGCAGTACGGTACAGTACCTACTGTCTTCAATTGTCCTCTCCCTTTACCGTACGGTCCTGAATAAGAAGAAGGGGGGGTGGGAGCCGGCTAGGATTGTACGATATGACCCAACACCGCCCTCAACTCCTGAGACATCCTGACCCAAACAAGGAATTAACTGTTTCAGGAGGAGGAAAGGACAAGAATTCGGGAAAAGGTGAAGCAAGAAAAAAAAAAAGTAAAAAAAGGAATATTTGGGTACTCGTGCGACCCCGCAATTGATAGCGGGCTGAGGAATCCTTCATCCGTGAAGGATTTCTTACTCCTTTTCTGCCAAAAATCCTCAGTCCAAAGGAGGGATGCTCATCATCGTTAATCAAGTTGAGAGGCAGATGTAAGCAAGGGCGCGAAATGCGAACGAACGCGTTCAATCATCCATCACGTCAAAAGGGCCCTTTCCACGAAATGCGCGCTCCGCATAACACACCGTACTGTACCTGCGCTCATAAATTTCTCTACCTACATTACATGCTATGCTGTGGGAGCACCGTATCTCACCCCACACATCTGGCCAGAAGAGCCAGTAACAAAACGGACGAACAGAATACCGTAACCAGTCGGACTCCTTCTCTTGAACCTTTCAACCACACCACCCATCCCTCCACCCCGCCCACACGGAAAAAAAAAATCATATGTCACGAAACCAAAATTAAAGAAAAACAGTGGAGAAAAAAGAAAAAAAGAAAGGTGTGTCCCAACAAAACATTCCCTTTCCTACTGTATCCTTTCCCGATTTCAATTCAGCAACCGCCCCAAACAGGGAAATATTGGACCTCGCACGGGCAGAACCCTAATCAACCGCCTCTCTCCTGCACCCACCGATCTCAGTTCGTGTACCATCAGGTGGGATGGAAAAAAGAAAGAAAAAAGAGAAAAGAAAAAACAAAAAAAAACAAATCATGAGCCAATCATGGGAAGCGGGAGGGAGGCGCTGATGGATTTTTTAATTTATTTAGTTACTGTATTTGATGGAATTTGATGGACGGAGTTAGATGTTTCGGTGGCAGGTCGGGTGGTTATCAATTTCTCTCGGGGAGGGGGGGGGGTGGTGGAAGGGGGTATTGTAAAGTTGAAGGAATGAATGAATGAATGAAGGATAGAAGAGAAGAGTGGAAGTGGAGAGATCTTCCGGGCGTCAAGAGCGTTCATGGATTGGGGTTGATGGATACCGGTATTCGTGCAGTATCATACTAGCACTGTACTATACTATACTCGTACAATCACAGCGCAGTGCGGGCACTGTACGTACAATACCGGTAGTATTCTCGAGCAGGAGCACCATAGTAATTGGACAGCCCGGTAGGTACGACTGGCAGTAACACCGTACCGTACCTCAACTTCCAAATCCAACCATTTTCTCCTTCGACGAACAAGATAGCGTCCCCTTGCGCCGTCCTCCCTCCCTCCACCCACCCACCCACGGAGTAAAAGAAAAAATCCCGAAATCAACCAGGATCCATCAGCCTTGGCAAGTACGCAACGAATATCATACTCAAATAAATGAAACAAAGTAAACAAACAAACCACTACCGCCGTCAATGCTGTCCTCCAAAGAATTGATATAGGTAACATACCTCCCACACCCGATCAGAATGTGATCCGAGCAACAGACTCAACTATGGTAACTGTAGCACCACCGGCACCCGTATGTGGTACGCTCGTACCGTACTATAAATTACCTATCATACCGTGCACCGGTAACCTAGCAACCCCTCACCACCCCCCCCCCCCCAGTCGGTCGGAACCCTTCACCCTAATGAAAACTCATTCATTGCAAATCGGATCAAATCGTAATAACTAGTACGGTACTCATCACACCAGTGTTTTCCAGAACTGTGATATCAACGTTTTCGAGAAGAGTTCTTCCCCGGGAATATGAGTGCTCGTACTGGGATACAGTACGAGTAAGGAAGAAGAGAAAGGTCCGGAGGAAAACAGCAGATCAATCACCGTCTATCATACAAGTAAACACTCGCAACTACCGGTATCCATAGACTACCAATTAAGTTAGACCCCCCCCAAGAACACAGTACGAATTACTCGAGTACCGTAGGGTACAGTACGAGTACAGTACAGCACGCTATCCCCCATCCGAAAATAAGAATAGGAACGAATAGATCCAGTACGGTACAGTACGGTACGGTAAAAATAAATAAATCTGGATCAAAACGACCACAAGGACAGACAACCACCACCACCACACCTCGCCATCGGAAGCATATGACGGATGATACGGTACTCGTAAATACTGTAAACTACCAGTATCACAACGACGAGAAGAAGAAAATAAAATAAAAAGGGGGGGGGGGGTAGATAATCACGGTCATGCGCACCATCTTCTTTATTTTTATTTAGAAATATCGTATTGTTTATACGTAGGTTGGTGGACTGGAACTATTGAAAGGGGAGGGAGGGGGGGGGGGATAATTAATGTTCAACTGTGAAAAATACACTACGGTAACTGTACGAGAGCCGGTTTTTAGTGCGAGATCGGTACGGTACGGTATACCGGTACTGTACTGTGCGAGTACTGTAACTCGAGTAAAGACCATCGTGATGCTATTTATTTCTTTTGCACTACTGTATGGTTGTGAGAGGGTCTTTGAGGGAGGGGGGGAGAATAAGGTACCTGTAGGTCATATTGCTTCTCTGTACTCAAAAAAAAACAGAACTAGTAAAAGATCAACGTGCACTAGTGCTAGTGCTCTTATAGTACTAGTACGGTAGGGGATCGTGACCTTCCCACCCCGCCGACTCTACAAGTCCGACATTTTCGATGGAGGGATGGATGGAGGGCCTAATATCCCAGTGTGCTTGACCTGAGTTGATATGGCATGGCCTTACCGTATCCCAATCTCGCCAACGGTATGATGCTTCGCCTACGGTGTCGCACTGTGCTCGGCCAGGGCACAGCACAGTACTGTACAGTACAGTCTAAACGATACGAGTACCGGTATGGTATCTGCAAGGAGCGGAAAGGAAGGAAGGATGGAAAGAAGGAAAGGAATACGGTAGAATAATAGAATACGATGCATCCCTTCCCCCCCCCACCTCCACTCCACTCCGCTCCGGGTGTGCGACCGACCGACCATCAGCATCAGCATCAGGTTCAGCATATGTATGTACTTGTATCTATCTCATAGATCGGTGGTGCTTCCCAAAACACCGAGCCAAAGCTGAATAAAAGTCGAAAATCCTCGATGGGATGGGGATGGGGATGGGGATGGGATGGGACGGGATGGTGGGCGTAGATTTCAAAATGGTACCGGTATTTGATGACCTTGCCTACCCACCCACCCACCCATCCTCCCACCTTCCTACCTGCCTGCTGCCTACTCGAGTACCTACGGTGCGACCTACATATGGTTCATGCTGGGTATCATATCGCGCGCGTGTGCGTACGTGCGTGCATGCGTGAGTGAGTGAGTGAGGGAGGGAGTGTGTGTGTGCTTGCGCGTAAAGTGGACGACGAGGTGTGATTAATGCCGTATTATTCATTTACTCGAGTATTACCGGTATTGTCGGTGCTGTGCCTCCTCGCCTCTTTCAAGTGCAACAATCGGGGAGGGGGATACCGTGGGTTCAACCTATCGTATAGAACAAGGCACCGACATTTCATCGTCCTGCCCTGCCCTGCCCTGATCTGCTTCCTAGCTTCCTAGCTTGCCAACTTGCTCACTCAGCGAGGTCTTTGGATGGATGGGTGGATGGATGGATGTTGCCTGTCGATGCTCCTCACTGTGGTGTTCCGTACCCGAGCACCGGTAGAGTGTGTTCTTTATGCCGCTGCCTCTGGAGAGCACTGCGGAAAAGTAATCCCGCCGGACTGCTCGTACGGACGGTATCAACGCCTCCCCACCCCCCCGGTCCATTGCCACCACTTTGGTAAATTGCAAGTACAATACGGGATTACGTATCAGCGATTTACTCTGATGAATGCTGTAAGGAATCGCTCAAGATAAAGTACAGTGAGCTAAAGTTACAGCCGGGCGGAGCGGTCGCAGATTGATCCATTGATTGATTGATTGATTGCTACTGTACTGTAAACCTCAAACTCTTCAAAACTCCCGAGAGCAGGCACACGACCTCCCGATCGATTGATGGATGGGATGGATGGGCCTTCAGTTGCGCTGCGCATAGCAGCACAGCCGCGGTTAAGACCTTTCTTATCGTGAGACCTTTTTTTTCCGGCTCCCTTCCTCCACCCCTCCCCCTCTCACACGCATTTTACAACCCCCCCCCTCCTCCTCTGCTTCTTATTTCAGCTCCCATTCACTCATACAAATCGCAGCCCCGTTCTCAATATTCCCTAGTCTCTCCGATATTGAGAACGTCAAACACCCCTTCCTTCTCGATCCCTTCTTTCCCGAGAGCTTCCTTCAGTAACCTCGGCGGCTCGAGTACAGGCTCATCAGTCAATACAAACGTCCCTAAAGCACACACCCCGCAAACAAAGTAATCAAAATTAGCCTTGATCGCCAGGAAAACTCTACCCTCATCACCCCACCGTTTCTCCCTCACCCCCGATGATGATGCTGATGATGGGAAGATGGATTCCATCCCATCGAGATGAAATGCGGGGTAACCATCCGAGGCGCCTAAATTTGGCGATTCCACAAACCAAGAATACGTGATAGAGGTTTGGGTTTGCCCCCCCCCCACCTCCGCCTTCACCCCAAAAGTGATCCCAAGATGGCGAAAAAAAAAACCCCGGGTGGAGATGAAAACGAAATGAGAAGGAATTATATCCAGGTGACTCACCCCAGTGAATTCCGAGCGCCTTTTTGCACTTCGTATCCACAAAAATTCGCACGGCGTCGTATGGATTTGCATGCATGGGGCTCATGACCCTAAACACGGTCCAAAGTTAATTGAGTTCAAAATCTCACCTGAGCCAAAAGATCATCTGCTTCGTAAAAGCCAGAAAAAGTGGGGAAAAAGCAAGAATTACGCCGGACATTGTGACCTCCTTTTCACCCAAACAAGAAACGAGCGATTTCTGGAAGATTCCCGACCGAGCCGTAGCGCTGGGTATATCCTGTGCTGAAGTACGCACTGCGTCTACCTTGGAGTACTTGTACATAATCATACCTGACAGGCACTCCAATGTCACACAGGTGGCAGACAGAATCTCATGCGTTAAACTGGGTGCCGCATCTAGGATACCGTATCCCATGCAAAGGGGATAAAAGAAAAGCAGGGCGGGAGCAAAAGGAAAACCTTCGGTTGAGATGAAAATGGAAAAAAAAAGCATTCTGAGAAGAAACATACCATCTTGGCACGTAGGCACCAATGGGTATCAGCCCGACGTCGAACCTACCGGTAGTCAAGATACGGTGATCAGTTCGGGGAATCCATGAAAACCAGAAATGTCACCGCCGAATGGTAAGCACATACGGTCCTCTCAGCTCCCCAATCTGTTTGAAAGCCGGACATACTGGCAAGTCTCTGAACTCTTCGCCGTAGTCATCAACAGATTTCGGAAGGTCCGGAGGGACAGCACGGTACCCGGTGTCGCTGTGTATCATTTCCGGTCAGCCAAAGGGAAAAGGGAAAAAGAAAAAACACCGGGTCAGCTTTGAAATCAAGGAAAAAAAAATAACTCGGCCTTTACGACCGTAACACGAGTTGGGTTAAAAGGAATGGGCAACAGTAGCCTAGGGAGTTGTGATAAGGTTCGATGGATAAATCCCCTTTCACTGGAATAATAAGTGATCAATGGAGAGTTCAGGGTGGGGGAAGCTGTGGCCTCCGCAAGAACTGTAGGAAATTCCACGGCACCAGAAGAGGCCATGCTCCAACCCGACGGACAGTTCTGCATGGGAGGGTCGACGGCCTCATATCGTATAGTACCCAACGGGAGGTCACTGGCCATTCCCGAACTGTAGGTTTCTGTCGTCCATCTGGAGCTATTGCTTCAGCCCGGTAAGTCACTTTCCTATATCCAAAGTGTGAACTCGTTGCTGAGATCGTTAGGGCCGTCGGTCGACCCACGGCTGGGGCCCCGGGATCGCACGGGAGGTCACCATATCCAGACGGCCAATATGAGGGGTTTAGCACGGGTAGTGGGGGCATTTTGGTATCAAAAGCCCTAGCCCTCATAGGGGGGGAAGAAGAAAAGAAAAAAACCAACACAAAGACAAGGTATGATACAAGTAAAAAGGAAAATCACGGGGAAAAAAGGAAATAAAACAATGGAGAGGTAACACCACCATGGGGAATGGTATCATCACTCACCCTCCAAAGTAAACCTTCTTTCCACCACTTTCTATGCTCCAACTGGCCCACAATGTTGCACCTCGATCAGTTAATCCCCTGTTGCTGGTATGTTGGCATGGAAGACAGCCTATCCTCGCGACAATGCCATTAGCCTTGGGACCTTCATCCGCGGGCCCCGCTTGCACGCTCGGCGCCAATTTTTTGGAATCGTTAGAGGGTGAAGCCCCGGCTGAGGTCTGAGAATTGGATGGAGTGAGCACAATATCTCGCTCCTCCCACCAGTCCAATTCGATACACTTCTCGACGCCTGAACAGGCGAACCTATTGATACCAATGCATTGTTAGAAAAAGCCCTGCTTCAAATACATGCCATCTTCGCTGGTGGGCCGCATGTTGTAGAGGGGGGAACAAACCAAGCCTTGTTACCCAAAGGCACGAAGTACCATGCAGCTGGATGGTGCTTCTTCAATTTTAAAATCGTGTTATGGTCCAAATGGTCATAATGGTTATGACTAATGACCACAACGTCCACAACAGGGATATCGGCAATATCGCATGGAATCTTGGTGTATCTCTTTGGACCTATAAATTGTACAGGGCTGCACCTCTCTGAAAACACTGGATCAAATAGGACACGGAAGCCACCAGGGAATTCGACATAAAAGCAAGCATGACCGAGCCATGTCGCACGGAATTCGGTGGAGAGAGTGGAACGGGTTGGTAGGAATTGAGGGGTTACGACCGGAACTGTTGGTGGGGCAGTTGAGGGACCCCAGATTCCGGCGGAGTCAGGACCCATGCGATGTCTAGTCAGAGAAAGAAGGAAAAACAGCGGAAGCAGCCGGTCAGGTCGTCATTCAAATTAAGATAAAGAAGAGGAAAAAATATTACCGAGCAACGGCTTTCAGAGCCTTGACCGGGTCTAAATCTCTCCAACTTTGGTAGATGTCAGTACATGGCCGCTCAATTTCAAATGGGTCTACTTTTTTCGCAAGAGAGAGGGGGGGAGGGTAAGTGGGATTGCAGAAAGGAGGGATTTTGTGTACATTTGGTTTCGTGCTGACAGGAAACATTGACAAAACTGTATAGGAGAAAGGTTGGAGCAAACAGGCAGACAACTCGGGAAAGAGTGGGAGAACAGGAGGAGGGGGGGAAAGGCGTGCTCGGGCTCGGAATGCCACTCGTCCTTGAAACTTTTTTCTTTCATTTTTTTTCTTTTTTACTCATACCTCGGCCAGGGATTTGTAAAGCCGTTTCCATTCTTCAAATGGTGGGACTTGTTAACTACGTCCTCCGGCGAGCTCGAGAGGTGCTGCGGTGTAGACACAGAAGCACTGTAGACGCTGGCGATAATTGCTTGGGTGCTAGACATCCTCGTGGGGGTTGTCGTGGGAGACAAGACGGCGCTGAAATGTGGGATGACGTTATAGTAGATTTGACTGTGTGAAAACAAACTCCTGGGAATAGAGTGGTAGTTCTGCGGCAGCAAGCCCGGACGCGAACTTTGCAGGAATCTGAAGAGATCTGAAGCCGGACGGGGTCGCATATAAGCCCGTTTATATATTTTATTTTTTTCCCCTCCACTTCCGCTCTCCTGTCTCGTTGCCATCTTTGACCCCGCGAGATAGGAGACCCGTGACATGCTGTATGGGGAAGGGTGGGCTTGCTGGCGAAAAAAAAAGTGACGGGGCCACGAGTTTGGGGATGCAATTATGATTGATGATGGGTGATGATGAGGAGAGGGTGAAGGATGCTGGTGGAGGGAGGGAACTGACTGCGTGGCACTGCAGCTATCAAGCAGAGCCAGCGCAAAAACAATTGGAGTAGAGTGGTGGATGTACTGTACGACTTCTTGAAGTGGAAAGGTAGACTATCTGATTGCTGTGAATTCCGGAAGGGAAGCGCGGAGAATGTGGAAAGTAGAAGTGCAGTTGCCAAGTACCGTATCAATGGAAGTGGAAGAAGAAAAGAAAGTAGTGATTTCGCTTGAGTGATCATGATACAGGTGATAACTTGGGCAATTTTTTGTTTCTCGTGCTCCGGTGGGTCTGAATTTGGTTCAAAGTACCGTAATCACCGGGGTAGTAGGGGATATTGCTCGGACGTTGGGATTGCCTCTCCTAGTAAGGTCTGTTGTCTAGACTAAGGACTGAAGAGTGGGAGTAGACTATTTTCCCTCCTTAATCCAACGGGGGGAATTCTGAGCGTCCTATGCTAGCATTGTTCCTACTTGCAGTTTTCTAGCTGTTACGGCAGGAGCATCGCTACAACATGAGAGTTGTCCCGCCCCTGGCGCCCCTCCATGGAGTCGTCTATGCTGTGGTTTAGCAACTCTCATGGAGAATGGTGCGAGCCTCATTGACAACGCACATCACAACACCGACAATGTCTATCGGATGAAGCTCTATCGGGAGTACCGGTAGAAAGCTCCTTACGGTCCCCCACTGTGCAACCAGACACGGAGGAAATAGAGCCGTTCGAATGTCCGTGATGGATCAATAGGATGTAACGAGAGCATCATGTCGCAGCCCGCAGCCCCCCCCCCCGCCCATCAAGAATCACTCGGATCAACTATCGTTCCGGGAGAATTCTCGGTCAATTGGGAAAAGCCGATATCTCCTTTAACTCCTGGAGGTAAACCGGGGGTTGTGTCTGCCGGTATTCTTACTGTGCTGCGCTTAGAAGAATGTAAACATATACTCGAGTAATAAGATGATCTCGTCGCTTAATATGGTACTCAAGTCGCCGGTTTGAAGTCGCGTTTCCATTCAGGGCATCTGGGTTCTTGGCATGCCAAATGAGTATTCTTGGCGCATATAACTCGGAGTAATGGATGGGCACAATATCAATTCTACATGCATAGAGACCCAGAGAGAGCTTACATGAAAAGCTTGAATGGTGTATCTTGTATCATGGCAACAACAATTATGCTGGCTAGGAGTTGGCTAAGTGACTTAAGATTGTATTTTGTAGTCCCCGCCCGTCCGGTATTTCAAATTACCTATGAAATGTCGCTTTTCCCACGCCGAGAACCCCCATACCAGGTATGGAAACGCGACTTCAAACGGGCGACTTGAGTACAGCCAGTGGCCTTGGGAATCCTGGGATCATTGCCGGGGGAGGTCTGGCTTGGGAGATCTGGCTGTGACCTGTCCTCTAGAAACCGTCTACGCGATCGTCACTCTTGAGCTATTCCTAATCTCGGAATACCCTAAGGAACCCGAAGGCGATAAATATACGCGAAGGGATAACTTAGTGCCTAACTCAGTTAGCTCGGGAAAGACAAGATCACGGTTTCCAAATTGCACACCCTGACCGAGCCTTTTATCCCTTGGGTGGTCTGAAACAGTAAAATTCGTAGCCAGGTGGATTGTCGGGCATGTAGATGGCCGGAGGTTAGATTATGACTGATTGCTTGGATTGCTTTGGTGATGCGGCCGATAGGCCTCTGGCCTGTATATTTTAGACACTCCTCCACGATAGCAATCAACAAGGAAGAATGCTCCCCTCACCACCCAACCGAAGGTGACTCTGACAGCTGGTGCTCTGACTCGGATGGGTGTCTATTGCCAGAGAGGGGAGCATTGAGTTGCTTCCTTTGCCGTTTATCTTTCAAGCTGTTTGTTTTCCATTTTTTTTCAAGAACCTGTTGATGTTATTTGCTTTCTTTTATTCTGTTTTCCGGTACGATGCACTCTAAGTTACAATTCTATGGTGACAGCCATGATGAAAAAGAGGATGTTGCCAACTTCCTTGATGGTATTAAGGAAAGGTTTGATCACCGGTATTGGGATAACTTCAATTCTTGTTACAAGCGTTCCCAAGCATGAGCTGCCTACCTCTGAAGGCATTTATGAAGTCAGGCAGAGAAATTTGTGGCTGGGTTACCCTCGTCGGTTCAGCAAAGTTGGTCAAGTTTGTCAGGAGCTCTGGAGGAGAGATTTGATCCTGAGTATACTTTCGCTGGCCTAAGAACCATTTACATCGAACACGATACAAAGCCTGATTAAACAGATGTGGAAGAGGTTTCGAGTCAATATTCACCTCGCATTTTACTACCATCCTCTCTTACGATCGGAACCTTCACCAAGTTCATGTAGGTTCGTCTTTCCATCGATACTGTCCCTTAAAGAGATTGTTGCATTCTAGAAAATGTCACAAAAGAAACTTGATGAGGCTATCCTAGAATGCCTGAGGTCTAGTACCTCTTCCCCACCTATGACTGCGACTCTGACACCTATTGGTGATACTGCATCGATGATGACCGCCTCTTCCAAATTTGATTTGTCACTCCTTGAGAATTAAATAAGCAAGCTTTTATTTGCTACCAAGATGACAAGGGTCTTGTTAAGTGTTCTCTATATGTTTGGATTGATGTATCAGATGTTAGTTGCCAGTGTGACTGAAAAGAGAAGAAAAGAGATAGAACTGCAAGAAGACCAGAGAATGAAACAGCCGTTGATTGATTGGATACCAGAAAGACCTGCAAGCTCTATGGCAGAAGTACAAGCTGCAGAGGCCAGTGCCTTAGGGACTTGGTTTAGTATAATTTCGAGAGTCTCTTGTTTCAGTCTCAGAGGTATTATGAAGTGGGAGGATCAACTAAGAGATTGAGGAGAAGAGGATAAGAAGCCACCTGTATGTATGGCAGATATTCTTCACTGGTGTGGAGGAACTGTGCGGACAGGAATTGGATGAATAGTCAGAGGGCCATACTATTGGGTGAGAAGGGACTTGGAGTATCTATTCTTATTCATGTATCCTATCTTTGTTTTGCCTGTGGGGTCACAGGCTGGAGGAAAAGGGGGAGAGCTGTCGGGCATGTAGATGGCCAGAGGTTAGATTATGACTGATTGCTTGGATTGCTTTGGTGACGCGGCCAATAGGCCTCTGGCCTGTATATTTTAGACACTCCTCCACGATAGCAATCAACAAAGAAGAACGCTCCCCTCACCACCCAACCGAAGGTGACTCTGGCAGGATGAGTGACTTCGTCATTGTGGTCAAGTCACTCGGCCACCTGCAGGATTTTTACTTCTACCAATGAGAGCTCAATTGAAACTGTCATGCATCATGGCTCATCGCTCGGCCATCTCTTCTCCAACCTTTATCCCATCTGTCTGGCCACGGCATCCGCAGGAGGGCAGCAGGTCCGTAGAAAGACCAGAATTATCGTGAGTTCTAGACCCAATCCTCGAGCTTGACATTTCCTCCGTCCTGACTAGGAAAGAACATTGTCAACTCATCATCATTACGAAATTGATCAGCTGAGCTGTCGAATGTTTATTGATGCGCTACTCGAAGCAAGGCTTGGCTCTCGCTTATCGTACTTATAGGAAGCTGCGAGATTCCACATACCTCGTGATCTGATCTCCACCTCCTATTGAAGGACGAGAATCATATAACAGAACCTTTTTATCATAACCCTACTGTTTCACAAAAGAGTGTCCGAGCACAACCACCTACGCTGTCGAAGTGCAACGGCACCATACGTTATGGACCGGTTAGCCGGTGTAGGAGGTAGTGCTGGTAAGTTCCAATTCCCAAACGTCAACAAGAAACGGTTTGCAGTGGGGGTTCCTAACATCAGCCTAGCAGCACATCTCCACCATGGCGGAGGTGCGTCGGAGGCGGATGAAGTAGAATACGACCGCCTTCGGGCCCGTAAGTGGCTCCCCACCATTTACTGTGCTGCCTAGCCAACACCCTCCGCCACGGTAGTCGCCCGCGGACGAGCCCGCCTGCGCACAGACTGTTTCACCCGCTCCCGCGAAGCCTACGCCAACGGCCACGGTGCAGCAGCCCGCGACCTGAGTGAGGCCGGCAAGCGCCATAGAGCCTCCATGGAAAGATACAACGCCCAAGCCCGCGACTACATCTTTCGTGCCAATAACGTGCATTTACCCTCGGATACCATAGACCTTCATCGGTTGCACGTCGAGGAGGCCATCGAGATCCTCGAAAAGAGGATCGATGCGGCGAGGGGCAGGGGGGAGGGATACTTGAATGTTATTGTGGGCAAGGGGAACCATTCGGCGGGTGGGGTTAGGAAGGTTGGGCCTGCGGTTATGGAATTGTGCAGACAGCGGGGGCTGGAGGTTGGGGAGGAGGCAGGAAATTGGGGGAAGTTGATTGTTGTGCTTGGGGAGGGCAGGGGTGGAGAGCAGGGTTGTGGAAGGTATGCCCAATATTATCCAGAAGCTCCAGGGTTTTTGTATCGTTGGTTGATCTGGCAGCAGAGCATAAGTGCTCGAATGTTCCTGTTATAGCGTCTTACTTTTTGTTTTTTTGGCACACATTGCTCGAGTGCATATATACCATTTATGAAACTATGTATAGTTTGCTTTTATGTTTTATGTTCTGTTACGGTGTTGTAATAGGTTACAATGGCATTGGGGGGCGAACTGGTATATATGAAGGCGTTGATTTGTTAGTTGTGGAAGGTATAATAGTTATGTGTTGGCGTGACCAATGTGAAATTTCATGCACGAGATGTATAATGACTTGCAAGTATACATGGAGTGATGTGCGCAGAGGAATGAATTGGAGGGAGGTGACTACCCGGGATCAGAACCAACGACACCGCTCTGGTATAAAACCCCTAGTTACCACTAGGTGCCGGGGTATAGATATAGCACCTTTCCACCGCCATCTACGCTATATGAACTAAACGAACAACATCCTATATGATAGCATAATCCCGAAAGCCAGATATGGGAGAGCAGGTGTGATGCAGATGGAGAGATGTATGGGAAGCATGCATGAGGATGATAGGGCAGAGAGGATGGGCCCTTGTTTGGTTGTGTGACTGATTGATTTGTTTGTTTGTTCCTAGGATGGCCAGCCCTCCTTGTGATGGTTGTCATCCTTTCATTTTGTATTTTTAGTCTTCTTTCAGTGCTTCCGATAGAGACACGAACGACTCCTCTCACCTCACCTTCGGATTCCGTCCACTTCGTGATTTCTCACCTCCGCTGTGCCTTGCCTTGCCATCACTATATACTCCGAACCCTCCTATATAACCTTTTGGCCCCACCACAATCCCTCTCCCCCCCCCCACTGATCCAAGCACATTCTCAACGGGAATCCCACAATTTACCCCAGATACACCTTAACCCCATTCTCGACTACCACAGGTAAACACAAACCAGTGCCAAAAACCCCAAAGCCTCTGCTTTCATCATATTATCCCCCCGTCGAACCCGAACATCCTCCCTTCCTATGATATGAGAGAGGACAAGGTATCGCCATTCACATCCCGTCACTCGCAGCTCCATCCATGAAAAACCGGGTTTGAAAGGCGGGATAGGTGTTGGAGCCTACGGGGGAGGCCTCGCGGTATATTGCTCGGCACAAAAGGGGATAATTGCCCGTCAGATATCAGTGATCGGTGATTAGGGTTCCCTTATCCTCCTCGGGATTTAAGTCTTCTTATGTCCATTCAATGTCTACTAATGTGATATAGTCATCACTAGCCTCCGTGACAGGGGGGAAAGGGTAAAAAGGCCAGGATCTATTCATGAGACAACGGTACGGGATAAGTACCGTACCGTACTCGGTGCCACAGTGGTATCACGTGGGATATTACATTAGCCGATGCATCGGTCAAGATGTCGAGAACCGGTTATCTTCCTATGGGAGTTGGGAGATTGGAGGGATTGAGTCTCATTGGTAGGACCGGCATCCGTCGTTTGAGTGGTCGAAGTTGACTCCGGGCCATATGGCTGGGCACCGGTCTGGGATCGCCGGGATTGCGGGAAGGAGGAGGAAAATATAGGGATTTACTAGGAGTTGAATAAAATGAAATAGGGATTAGTTTTTTTTCCTTTGATTGGGCTTTGCGGTGTTGTAATCGCGACGGGGGATTTTGTGTACTGTGATATTTGGGCTCTCCAGCATGGACACGGCTGGATAAGTCTGTGGAGGGGGATGACACCGTTCAACCGCTTCTCCATTGATCACCTTGTATCGTAAGCTAGGGGTAATTTTTCATGGGGGAAGAGTCAGGTGTGAATAGTAATCGTTGCCAGGCGGTATTGGACCTTTACATAAAATTTTTGTTAAATGCGTTTATTCTCATGATACCCACGGTAGTGCCCTCCTCCTCCTCACTCATCTGGATTGGTAGGTGAATACCTAGCGTCTCCTGCCCTCTGCTTACCGCCCACCTCATATGTCTGGAGAAGTCTTTGGCCGCCTGTATCTCTGTGACACCATAAGTAGTGTTTGTCCAGTCTCTTAGCGGCGTGCAGTTGGGCATATATTTTTCCTTGTTGTGCCGGTATTCTTGTTACCCATATTACCCCGGGAGAAAGGACAGTGTGTAGACAACAAGATGTTAATTGGTATATGTGTATTTCCTCTCTCTGGGCTATGTTTCTACCTCGCTTTAACACTGGCCCCTTCAATAACGGTGTGCTGTTCGGTCCCTCATTGGCCGGGAATGGTGTTCAAATGTGTAGGGTACGGCACTATCTTAATAACTTTGTACGAAAATACGACGTAGTAGAAAGAGTATACT